CTATATTTTCTTGCGTACATTCTTAGAATATTGCTGCTATAAATTCTACGTATAACAGACAATTTTTTAGCAGATATAAAAAACAGCGATATAATTTAAGTGTAATATTTAGAATTCTAGCTGGAACAGCGAGACAATTCCCTGAGTGAATGATGCAGTCCCTCGCCAGTGCCGCGTGTTCGTTTGGACTCGGTATGCCGCACAGGTGCATATTGGATGTACGCAAAGGTTTCGTTTCCCAAAGCGCATCATGCGCATGATGTATCATGGTATCCTTTTTGTTCAACAAATGATAAACAAAGATAAAAAGATAAATCATGCACATGACGCGCTTTGCGGAACGCAGCCAAAGTGGCTTTCACAAATTAGTAGGGGCCAGTTGGTTAATTGCTACCAGCTCTACATTGTGCACTGGTGGCACACTGATGCAGATTGGTGCAGACCAGCCGAAATCGCTATAAGAACCCACATCAGTAATTGTGAAAAAATAGCGTAGGTCATCATTTTGCATAAGCAGTTAGGCTGCTCTGATCGCCAAATTGCTAGAAATATAAATTAGTGAGAAAAGTGCGCGCTCAGCCGTTTTATATAAGATGCGTCCAAACTTTTGACCGGTACTGTATATTGCGTGCTGTATATATAATAGAATTTCATCTCATTGAAAAGTCGAAAATAAGCTCATTATAAAAGCCGTCGAGTAATGCGCGATAAACACTATAGCGTAAAGCATCGCTTCGTGTATTAAATTAATTAATTTCATCACGAAGGGCTGTTATCTTGATTTTTTTTCGTATGGCGTCTCACACGGTTTGCGCGTGCGACACAAAGATAATATTTACGGTAGCATTATGGCGGAAGATATAATTTAATTCAAATTAGCTTAACCTGACTTCTCAACTGTGTAATTTTGATAATTAATTAATGTACGTGAAATAAGATCGCTCGATACGAAAATGTTTATTCGCAGTCTCTGCCATGCATCTGCGAAACGCAGTACGAAATAAGGGACCTGGGCGAGGGACATTATCCGAGATACCTAAGCGCGTCGAGCTGCAAACCGAAAGCCTGCCTGGGCAAGTTCAATCCCTGCCGACTGCTGCACTACATGGTAAGATCGCGTGACAATCAATAATCCGTAAGGGTAGAGGGGGGGGGGAGGGCAAATAGTGACGGAATTTTTCCTCTCTTCCCTACAAGCTAATTTCAAGTTTACAAGATATGAATTTTCACTTAAAGAGTACTTTCCACTTTCAAATATACAAAAAACTTAATTAGAGTTTCCATAAGTCAGTGTATACGGGTTAGATTTTCATAAAAACTGAAACCTACATTCGTCACTATTTGCCGGGTAAATAGTGACACCCTATATGGGACAATTACAAAATACATATTTCTTAACTCTTAATCGATCTTTTTTTTTTGACATTTTGATTAAATAAGGTAATTTATATTAATTTCTAGACTCTGCCGTATGTAAATTTTTATTTATTGACAAATAATAGTAGTAACATTATTTGCTAGTGTTTCTTATTAAAAATCGCACTTTTTACATTTATTCTGGGTCTTGCCTTGTAATTAATTATCCCAAATAAATTCGAAAAATTATATTCAAATATTAGAAAAGCTTTTTGACTTGTCATTATTTACCCAACTAAAAATTATTTGTCCCAGGAGCTACTTTTTCTTTTAAAACTTTACTGAGAGAAATAAAATTAATATACAAGCATAGGAATTATATCAAAACAGAGGAAAAAGGTATATTGTATGATATAGAATAGCTTAGATCTCATTCAACGATTCAGCAATTAAGAAAATATAACTTCAAATATCAAAAAAAGATCCAGGTTTTACATTGTTTCACGAGTGCAAAATTTTTAAACTTCTCCGCTAGCTATATTTGGCTTTTGATTTTTACGGCTTTTTCAGAAGATGATTAGATGCTTGAGAACTGTCTTTCTATTAACAAGTAGTGGCAAAATAGACGCGGGAAAGAGGAGAAATTTAAAGTGACACTATTTGCCTCCTCCCCTTTCCTTACCTATAATATGAAGCAGCGGTTCGCTCGCCGCCGCTGTAGGTGCGCCTAAGTGGTTGTCGAGTATTGTACAAGTGTACACAACTTTAATTAACGCCGACCGCGTATAAACTCTCAGCTTATTGATCACCGGACGTCGCGCATCGCCATCCGGATAAACATCCCCATGCGCCGCGCGGTGGCAAGTCGCGCCTCGATCGCGATAACGATATCGAACAGCTATCCGCACGCTACAGTTATGCAATAAACGTTCAATTACACTTTGCGCGGTTTGATTCGACTTTGATTATGCAATATTAGCTCTGTATGTATTGAATACAGCTATACATTCCAGTTCGCTGAAACGGCGGTTTAAAACAAGCATCGGCAGAGCTTCTCTGTAATCTATTATTCTTTTTTTTACTTTATTGTGAACTATAACGTTATCATTGATATTTTTATGCAAAAAATTGCTTGCTAATGTATTGCGTATACAGCTCTAAGTTTTAAAAAATATCCGTGTATTAAAACATAAAAAAATATAAAGATATGTTCTGTCAGTTTTTATTAAAAAAATATATAGAGAGTGTAGTTTGCAGCAGAGAAAAAACATAAAAATACACAACACGTATTATTTTCTGCACCGTCTATTTTTATATCCATCAAAGGTAGGGGAGGATGTAACAAGGATGTAACAACATTTAATGTAGTGGGGTTAAAGAATTACTCGGCCGCAACAGCACACTACACGCGTAATTATATTATTTGCAAGAAATGCCGCGGAAATCATTAATATCGAAGATTAATTAATGCGTTAGTGCAGTTGATATCCTTGTGTTATATGCGTTCATAATAAGAATTCACCTGCCAGCCAATCCTAATTAATAGTATTAATTTGTCTGTGCGATTATTCATCCGAGACTTGTTATAGAGCAATGATACATTAAATTACAGAATAATATAGCATGTTACAACTGGCAACCAGTCCTTCATATCATTAATTATCTCTCAGAAATAAATCTAGAAATTACAACGTACCGCCATATGAGCAGTAAATATTTTGTGTATGCGTGTATATGTGCGCGCGCGCACACACACTATATGTTATACATTATATATATATATATATTAGAATGGGCCGAAAAAAATTTTTTTTTTTAATCGATTAGTAATACCCTCTAAAAGTTCGCTATGGACCTCATAAGGTCTAGGTAAAATTTCATCAAAATCGATTGATATCTTCAGGTTGCTCCTCGATTTTGCGATTAGTAAGTTTATGCATTTCTTCATAGATATGTAAAAATTCGAAATAATATTTGAATTTCAATACAGTTTGGTATTACCTGTTGTTTTTTAGTCGCTGAACACGAATCCGAGGTCAGAAGTATACATTTCAAAATGACGGATTCGAAATATATTCTTAAATAATAAATTAAAATTTCTCGAAAAAAATGATAGATACGGAAAAATGTATGGTTTAGAGGGGGGACATAAGAAGGTATCATTAATTTTATTTTGGGTGGCGTCGTTAAGATCAGATCAAGATCACATCGATTCTTTTAAATGGAATTATATTTTTTTTACATAATACGATTCCTCTAATTATTCTGCATATAAAAGTAAAGTTATCGAAAAATCAAAATTTTACGAGATATTTTATACTTTATTATGCCATATTTCGATATATAATATGAAATATCTCGTAAACTATTGATTTCTTGATAATAGTATATATCAAGTGCCTAATATTTTTAGGCACTAAATAATAAGATAAATCGATTGATGTAAAGAAAACACACGGTTGCTTTAAAAATTTATAAGAAATGCATAAACTTACTAATTTCAAAGTCAAGGGGAAACCTGAAGATATTAATCGATTTCAATGAAATTTTATCCAGACTATATCCATGGATAACTTTTGGGGGGGTATTATTACTAATCGATTTTCAAAAAAATTTTTTTCGGCCTATCCTAAATTTTATATATATATATATGTATATGTATATTATATATTTATCACATAAAATTATTTTATTATGTAAATAATACTTTTTTACTAATTATTTTATATATTTTTTACGTTTGTATAAGCAACTTATTACATATGTGATCCTAATTTTGAATAGCGTCACTTATTTTATATAAAATATATGTATATATATATATATATATATATATATATATATATACATACACATGGTCTGCCCCAAAAGAAATAAGACTATTTTTGGCGGCCTAATCAGAATTGTCGAAGGGTGAAACTATTGGACGGGGCCTTTAGTGTTGAATGTCAGGTATACAGTCTGACCTGTTTCAGTTGCTTCCAAACCTTTCTAGCAGTCGATACCGTGAGTAAAGTGCGTTGTAATTTTTATGTCTTGTCACGGGTGAAAATGCAGCACAGTCTTGAGTATAGCATTACGCGATCAAATTTTGAAGACAAAGCAGCGTCCTCATAAGCTGTTCCGAACATCTCCAATGTTTCGGAACCAGAATTTCCCACAGTTTCACACAAAATTTGATAGCTGCGATCGAACTGTGCTGAATTTTCGCTCGTGACAGTCGTGACATGATACAAAAGTTACAACGTACTTTGCTGACGGTATCGACTAGAAAGGCTCGAAGGCAACGGCTGAGAAGGGTCGGACCTATCAGATTGCATACCTGTCATCCCACACCAAAAGCCCCATCCAATGGATCCATCCTCCGATAATTCTGATTGGGCCGTCAAAAAAAGTCTCATTACTTTTGGGACAGACCATGTATTGTATATATAGAATTATATTTATATATTTTCTTATATTTTCTTCTAAATATTTTAATCATGACAAATCAAGTAGTAATTAAATTAAGGGGTTACACCACCTTGAGCGCCTAAAAATCATAGGTAACTTTGGGAATTTTTTTTAGGAAAACAATAAAAGTAATACAAAATTCGTTTTAGGCTTTAATAATACATGTCTTTAGAAGTA